TCAGATTCATCACTATTTTACCATCATCAACATTCCATATAAAGCTCAGAAGACACGTGTAGGTTCACCGGTGGTTTTGATAGTAAATAAAATGGCTATATTTGTGTTGTAGTCATGGCAACCCCTGGTTCCTATCACCACCACTTTAAAGACAACCCTGTCTGTAACTTTTGTTGCAATTAAAAACATACAGAAATCGGATAAATGGCCATAAATGCACATATCATAAAGGGCCACACATATATTGTAAATATATGTACAAATACATCATGAATATATGTATAAGAATCAAATATTACATATATGCATAATACATGGACCATACATATCATGTCTGATAGGTGGGTGAACTCTTATATGCATAAAATATGGATCACATATATACTGTCTGTCTATGTCTGATACGTGGATTATACATATATATCTGATACAAGCATGTATCTGATTTAAAGCAAAAAATCAATAAAAAATACAGCAACAGCAACGCACATGCAATAAAAACCCTTACATTATATAACATAAAGCTATTATATGTGAGTAATATATACCATCCATATATAATAATTTATATTTTGTTAAATATATGTAGCACATATGTTTATATATCGCTTTTGTCGGAAGAAAACCTTGTATCTCCAAAATGGTGACTTTACAGGAGAAGGAAAAAACATATTTTACTTTTAATGTAAGTCAATGGAACCACACTTTTTTTCCAAGTAATTTTGGGCCGTTTATTTTGGTCCATTCATCATGAAATTTACACACAATGTAAAGGGCAACAGGCATTTTTTAAATTACGTCAAAAACTGAAAAACGATGATGTATGACTGAAATACATGCCCCATATATAAAAATGGTCGATTTCAAATAAGTTGGCATATAGATCACATATATATGTCCAAATGTGACTAATACAAGTTGGATAGGAGGGAAGCCCATATATGATGAAATCCATATATTGCTATATCTCAGATTTCTGTATGCGCACTCCGAATGACTCACGACTGTGAACCGACTGTTCACATGTCACTCATTGAATTATGCGGAAATTCTGTAGAATTCACCCTACATGGTCAGGTAAACTTACATGGAACTGGGTGACTGTATTTTGTTGCGACCACCTCTGTTTTTCACCCATAAGTTTCTGTGTCTTTAATTCTCTGACCTTTGCTAAATTACAGCAAAGGATTTTACTATCCGGCTCTTCTTTGCGAGCTCACATGAAAAGTCTTTAAATGTGTTTTCATGGCAGGCGTTGCGCTGTCTGCTCTAGTTCATAAACTCAGTTTTATACAAAATAAAGCTTGTAAATTACACCGCGCTTGCTCAGCCTGCTGCCAGATCCACACTCATGTGATCCTCTCTCTCACTCGCAGAATTAGCCAAGAACAGACATGCATTCCACTCATATAAACTACACACGTCTGCTCAGATGGAGCGGTTAGCCGCTGTTGTCATTCTCAGGTTCCATTTATATCCTTAAAGAAAAGGTTTGCCACAAAACAGAGTTTACAGCTTTCCCCCTACTAGAAACATAGTCGATCTGCCAAGACATAAGGTGCCTGAGGTTTCTTTAGTTCTTTAGAGTTACGAGGCTAATGTAGCTAGCAAGTATACTAAAGGCCCTGATAGCATATATCAGTCTGCTGGCTTGATAAGGTCACCACCCCACTGACTGTATGCCACTGATGGGCCACCTTCTGATCATTGACCTGTACTCAAGGTCTAACTAGTCCCCTCAAACAGGTTTTAAATCAAGGTCTTTTATTTTGAAAAATAAACAATTGAGAGACAAAGGGTAATGACTATGTCAAATACAAAATTATTTTGTAGAAAACATTGCGTTTGATTGGTTACAGCTGTACAATGGGCTTTATTTATGATATTGCTATTACAACCCCATTTCCCAAAAAATTTGGATGCTGTGCAAAACGTAAATAAAAACAAAATTCAATGATGTGCAAATCATTTAAACTCTACATTTGATTGAAAATAGTACAAAGACAACAAATCAAACGTTGAAACTGAGAAATTTTATTGTTTTTTGAAAAATATCTGCCCATTTTGAATTTGATGCCAACAACACGATCCAAAAAGGTTGGGACGGGGGCCTGTTTATCACTGTGTTTCATCACCTCTTCTTTTAACAGCACTCTGTAAGCGTTTGGGAACTGCTGTAGTTTTGAAAGTGAAACGTTTTCCCATTTTTGCTCAACATAGGATTTCAGCTGTTCATCAGTTCAGGGTCTCCTTTATCGTATTTTTTTATTTTATAATGTGCCAAATGTTTTCAGTGGTGACAGGTCTGGACTGCAGACAGGTCAGTTTAGCACCTGGACTCTTCTAATATGGAGCCATGCTGTTGTTATACATGCAGAATGTGGTTTGACATTGTCTTGCTGAAATAATCAAGGCCTTCCCTGAAAAAAATGTCTTCTGGATGGCAGCATATGTTGCCAAAACATGTATATATCCTTCAGCAATAATGGTGCCTTCACAAATGTGCCAGTCACCCATGCCATGTGCACTAATGCACGCCCTATACCATCATGAATACTGGCTTTTGAACTGTGCACTGATAACAAGCTGAGTGGTCTTTAGCCCAGAGGACACAGTGTCCATGATTTCCAAAAAGAATGTCAAATGTTGATTCATCGGACCACAGGGCACTTTTCCACTTAACCTCAGACCATTTTAAATGAGCTCAGGCCCAGAGAAGGTGGCAGTGTTTCTGGATCCTGTTTATATATGGTGTCTTCTTTGCATTTAAGAGTTTTAATTAACATTTGTGGATGCAGTAATGAACTGTTTTCACAGACAGTGGTTTTCAGAAGTGTTTCTGAGCCCATGTAGTGATTTCCAGTACAGAATCATGTCTGTTTTTAATGCAGTGCCGCCTGAGGGCCCAAAGATCATGGCCAGCAAATACAAGTTTTTGGCCTTTACCCTTACAAACAGAGATTTCTCCAGATTCTCTGATTCTTTTATAGTTATTATGTACTGTAGATGATGAAAAGCAAAAGTTCTTTGCTATTTTATGTTGAGAAACGTTATTCTTGAATTGTTGCACTATTTGATCATACAATCTTTCACAGAGTGGTGAACCTCCCCTCATCTTCACTTCTGAAAGACTCCGCCTCTCTGGGATGCTCTTTTTACACCCAAGCATGTTATTGACCTGTTGCCAATTAACCACCAGGTGTTTTTTTTAGTATTACACAACTTTACCAGTCTTTTGTTCCCCCCCGTCCCAAATATTTTGGAACGTGTTGCTGGCATCAAATTCAAAATGGCATATATTTTTCAAAAAACAATAAAATTTCAACATTTAGTATGTTGTCCTTGAAGCATATAGGGTTAAATGATTTGTGCATCACTGCATTTTGCTTTTATTTACATTTTTCACAGCGTCCCAACTTTTTTGGAAATGGGGTTGTACATTTTTTTATTAAAGTAATTTACAAAGGATAGCAAAAAAAAATAACAAAAGACAAAATAAGTGAATTCAACTATGAAAGGAAAGTGAACAATAAAAAGTGGCATTTTGTCTAATACTCTGCTTAACCACCACTGGGCCATCCAGAAAACACTGAACTATTCAATGTGCTGCCAACTTTGCCATTCGTGGGCCAACAGTGAGCCACTGTCCTCTCGCCATCTGGGTGGAGGCTAATAACAAACATTTAGCATTGTGCTAACTGCATGCCTAACTGCAGTTGTTAAGTAATGGACACTGTATGACAAACCACATGGGCAAAAGTCCTCATAGCCATAATGTTGTTCATTTATGTAGTCATAGATTTAGTCAAACAGTTAGCAGGATGCTTATTGGTAGGTATTCATTCATTTTTAGCTATTTTATCCAATGGGCCCTCTATAAAAATCACTGTTAAGTGAATAAATATGTAAATTAAATTTTAGTAATGAACACAGTTTTCCTCCCTTACACCAAATGCAGTTCACCAGCCGAATCATTGATGTCTGAAGCTGGCTAATTTAGTTTTACACTGGAGCTACAAGGCTAATGTGGCTAACAAGTACTGAAAGCTTATACCCTTCCAATTAGCATTGTACAATAATAGCATGACTGAATCTATAACTAAACTCAAAGAATGGACAAAAGTTTAGACAAAATTCAGGCTTCATGATCATTGCTACTGCTGTTTTTAGCTACACTAACACACTTTAGCCCATGTTTATAGATAACAGTGTGTCTTACAGTGTCAGAAACCATATAATCAAGACATAAGTCTACTAGAGATACTGAACACCTCCACATTGTTGCAGTTAGCAGCATGCTAATTGGTGAGTATTAGCTTCCATTACTTGTTAGTTGCGTTAGCCTTGTAGCTAACTGCAGACATGCCTTTTAGGGGGGAAACTGTTCATTATATTTTATTATTTTATTTATGTAATTATTTATTGTTTTAATCTTAACAGTAATACGCATACTGTCAGAAAAAAGGTATTAGGCAGGTACATTTTTTGTTCATCAATGTAAAAACTATGTAAATATGCTCTCAAAGATACAACAGTGGTTTTAAGGTCTAGCTGTGAACCTAAAATATGTTTTTCCCAGTGGACAGACTGCATTTGCACTTCTTTATAAGCTAATGTTTTAATTTTTAAAACAATACAATGAAAAGCCTGGAGATGAGATGGGGTGTGTGAAGTCAGCACAATAAGTATAATTTCAATGGATTATGGTACAATTATGTTCCCTGACTAACTGTAATGAAGACCCCTGTTGCAAGAGGGGAACTGCCCCAATGACAGTTCAGCACTTTTTCTGAGAGTGGGGAGCCCAGCGGAGACCCGAGTCCTGTTTCCACTCGGGCTCTGTTCATAATAAAATAAAGAGAAAAACACACGCAGTGGAACAGAAATGGCAAGAAACAGAAGAATTTGTGACGCTAACGGCTCCGGTTTCACAGCCTCATGAAATTTGTTCCAGACCAGACTTACTTTCTTTTCTCTTTTCCTTTCTCTTTCTTTTCCAGAGGTCATCATGTCATCACCCCCTCCGGAGAACGGCCCAGAGGACGCCAACCACCAGAGCTTCTGGATGGTGAGAGAGAGCAGAGCAGAGTTTGCACTGATAAGATTCGATCTTGGTGCATCCAGTCTTTCAGAATGTCTTCTCCCTCTATCTCTGCTTTTCTGCTCACGTTCACTCGCCCCGATAAGATGTAACCAAGAGGATGTCACGCACGTAGAACGTGGAAAATGAGAATGGGGGGAGCTGTGAAGCTAAAGCTAATGTTATCCAACTGACTCATTCCACTACTTATCTGCTTTTGCATAGCAGGAAAACTATAATGTGAATGACTGTAGTGCTGACAGAATGACTCAGCTAAGACTTTCTTCTCTTTTGTGCTTGATAGTGTTGAATATTACATACATATTTCTTTACCTCTTCACCGTAAAGGCATTCAGCTGGTAACAGGCTGTGATCTTTCAGAATGTGTTACTTGCGTAACCATGGAAATAGAGGTAGCATAGAAATAGGTGTAGCATAGCCATGGACATGGGTGTAGCATAACTGCGGAAAATGGCTGTAGTGTAATCATGGAAATAGGTGTAGTGTAAAATGGAACTCGTTTTAGAGTAACCATGGAAATGGTTGTAGTGTAACCATGGAAATGGGTGTAGTGTAAAATGGAACTCGTTTTAGAGTAACCATGGAAATGGGTGTAGTGTAACCATGGAAATGGGTGTAGGGTAAAATGGAAATGGATGTGGTGCAACCATGGAAATCGGTGTAGTGTAAAAAAGAAATAGGTGTAGTATTAAATGGAACTGGTTGTAATGTAACCATGTAAATGGGTGTAGTGTAAAAATGTAAATGGGTGTAGTGTGAAATGGAACTGGTTGCAATGTAACCATGGAAACTGGTGTAGTGTAAAAATGTAAATTAGTGTAAAAATGAAAATGGGTATAGTGTAAAGATGTAAATGGGTGTGGTCTTACCATGAAAATGAGAGGAGGGTCACCATGGAAATGGATGGACAAAGCCACAATGTTTTGTTTTTCAAAAGAAGGCAGACCTGTAGTTTTTTCCCTTGTAATGCTTTGACTGAATGTTTGGCTGAATGGAGTGAGGGAGTGACCTCACCCTCACCAGGCTGCTGTGATCTTTGTAGCTTTTTGTTTAGACTTCTTTTAAGATTTGATCTTGAGTACATCCAATCTTCACACTGTCTCCTCTCACTATGACTGGCTCGCTGCTCCCTTTATCTGTTTATCTGCTCTCCTACTAGCTGTTTCTACCATGTTTTCTTTAGTGTGTTCTGTGCTCTGATTGGATGTCTTTGTGTTTTCTGTGCTGTGATTGGATACTTTTACATTTTCTAGGTTGTGATTGTATGTTTTTCTTTACCTGTCTGATGCTACAGTCAGTCTCTTGGATCTTCTCTTGTTCCTCTGCACCGTTTATCCTTCTGTAACCTTCCTGATTAAAGACAGCAGGAATATTAAACATGTTGGAGACTTTTGAGCGTTTGGCAAAAAAATCTAATTTACTCAATTCTCCCTCTTCCCCTTGACATTTAGACTAAGGAAGAAATAGTGCGTAGCTATGGAGCTGTGGATGTCCAGCAGGGCCGTCCAAAAGTGTGATGGACAGGAGAAACTGTGCTTTCATGCCGTGAGTTTAATATACAGAGCCGCTCTGCTGTTTGGGATTTGGTGTTTTGAGCTCACGCTCGCTGATCCTCAGCTGAAAGCAGCAACCCAGTCTCTCCTGCCCGTCACACTTTTGGACAGCCCTGCTGGACGTCTGGCTGCTGTACCCTTCTTTGTAATAAACTGGCTGCTGACCAAATGTGACAGAGTGACTTTGTTTGTGTCAGTTGCTGTTATTGGCTACAACATCATTTTTACCAAAAATCTAATTTACATTATTTTTGCAAACACTGGCTAACAATATGCTTCTGTAATAAACCACATAAGCAAGTCTATTTGACATTACTTATAGGGAAATTCCACCAATTTTTCAAAATTTCTGCATAAGCAATTACTTAAGATGTAAACAAAGATTGTGGTTGGAACTAGGCTCTGCAGGAGGGTAGCCCCCCCAGGACCAGAGTTGGAGACCGCTGCACTGTACCAAGTCTGAGACATTTTAAGACAGTTTTGAGAGTTTAGGCTAATTTTTTTAAATTACATTAAAGGTGGAGCGGTACGTGCAGGGCATTGTGAGGCAAAGAAACGTATTTTTTCAGCTCTACTATTATTTTTACAATCATCAACATTACATAGAAAACTCGAAAGACAAGTGTAGGTTCGCTGGTTGTTTTCGGGTGGTAAATAAAATGGCTATTTTTGTGTTGTAGTCATGGTGTCCCCTTGTATATACTGTATATACTGTAAATAAATCTGAGTAAGTGTGAACCATTTCATATCAAACCACTCTGACAAACTAAATTATGCAGAAATTTTGTGAACTCCTTTTGAACAGTGCTAATTGGTGGGGTATAAGCTTCCAGCACTCGTTAGCTACATTAATTTTATGGCTCCGGTGCTAAAACTAACACTAATCATGCAAACTTCAAACAGCAACTATGCCTCAGCCGATTGACTACACTTGGAGTAAAGGAAAGGACTGTGTGAATTTGATTTGTAGCTGATCTGTCGCTTTAACAGTGCTGTTGGTGATAGTGTGGTACTAAGCAGTGTGTGACAGGGCAGCTGTGATTGGTTTGGCGTTCGGGTCCTGTTTGCGTGGGCAGCTGTGATTGGTTTGGCCGCTAATGCTCCACTGTGGTCTTGGACAACGGAGTGGATTCCTCAGCTGTTTTCACTTTTTCTAAGACTGGTGGGGAGAGAGACTCAGAGCAAACCACAGCTGAGAGAGAGAGAGGGAGAGAGAGACTAGAGGAGTGGAGAAACTGAAAGAACGAGGGTCTGTGGGGACACTGTATAGGAGAGATTTGAGAAAGATGAGAGAGAGAGGGAGAGAGAGAGATAGATGTTGAATGATAATCTGTAGTAGAAATAGTGGTGAAGGCCAGGAAAATATAGAGCGCATGTTCCAGACTCCACATCGACACACAGGACACCTATATGGGGGCCGTTTAGGGTGGAATACATTCACACACGCCACAGAAACACTTGCACACACTAGCATATTAGTGTGTGAGTGTTTCAGAGGTGTGTAAGTGTATCAGTGGTGTGTGAGTGTATCAGTGGCGTGTGTGTATCAGTGGCATGTGTGAGTGTTTCAGTGGTGTGTGTGTGTATCAGTGGTGTGTGTGTGAATCAGTGGCATGTGTGTGTGTTTCAGTGGTGTGTGTGGGAATCAGTGGCATGTGTGAGTGTATCAGTGGTGTGTGTGTGAATCAGTGGCATGTGTGTGTGTATCAGTGGTGTGTGTGTGTGTGTATCAGTGGTGTGTGTGAGTGTTTCAGTGGTGTGTAAGTGTATCAGTCATGTGTGTGAGTGTATCAGTGGTGTGTGTGAGTGTATCAGTGGTGTGTGTGTGTGTTTCAGTGGTGTGTAAGTGTATCAGTCGTGTGTGTGTATCAGTGGTGTGTGTGAGTGTATCAGTGGTGTGTGTGAGTGTATCAGTGGTGTGTGTGAGTGTTTCAGTGGTGTGTGTGTGTATCAGTGGTGTGTGAGTGTATCAGTGGTGTGTGTGAGTGTTTCAGTGGTGTGTGTGTGTATCAGTGGTGTGTGAGTGTATCAGTGGCGTGTGTGAGTGTATCAGTGGTGTGCGGGTGTTTCAGTGGCGTGTGCGAGTGTTTCAGTGGTGTGTGCGAGTGTATCAGTGGTGTGTGCGAGTGTTTCAGTGGAGTGTGCGAGTGTTTCAGTGGTGTGTGCGAGTGTTTCAGTGGCGTGTGCGAGTGTTTCAGTGGTGTGTGCGAGTGTTTCAGTGGTGTGCGAGTGTTTCAGTGGCGTGTGCGAGTGTTTCAGTGGTGTGTGCGAGTGTTTCAGTGGTGTGTGCGAGTGTATCAGTGGCGTGCGAGTGTATCAGTGGCGTGTGCAAGTGTATCAGTGGTGTGTGCGAGTGTGTCAGTGGTGTTTGTGAGTGTTACAGTGGTGTGCGAGTGTATCAGTGGTGTGCGGGTGTTTCAGTGGTGTGCGAGTGTTTCAGTGGTGTGCGAGTGTATCAGTGGTGTGTGCGAGTGTTTCAGTGGCGTGTGCGAGTGTTTCAGTGGCGTGTGCGAGTGTATCAGTGGTGTGCGAGTGTGTCGGTGGTGTGTGTGTCGAGTGTATCAGTGGTGTGTGCGAGTGTGTCAGTGGTGTGTGCGAGTGTGTGAGTGTATCAGTCGTGTTTGTGAGTGTTTCAGTGGTGTGCGGATGTTTCAGTGGTGTGTGCGAGTGTATCAGTGGTGTGTGCGAGTGTTTCAATGGTGTGTGCGAGTGTTTCAGTGGTGTGTGCGAGTGTTTTAGTGGAGTGTGCGAGTGTATCAGTGGTGTGCGAGTGTATCAGTGGTGTGTGCGAGTGTGTCAACTTATACACTCGCACACACCACTGAACACTCGCACACCACTGTAACACTCACAAACACGTGAGTGTTACAGTGGTGTGCGAGTGTTCAGTGGTGTGTGCGAGTGTATCAGTGGTGTGCGGGTGTTTCAGTGGTGTGTGTGAGTGTTTCAGTGGCGTGCGCGAGTGTATCAGTGGTGTGTGCGAGTGTATCAGTGGTGTGTAAATGTTTCAGTGTATTTTGCCCTAAACAGCCCTCCATACCACATCTATTCTGGAGATGTCATCACTCTCTCTCTCTCTCTCTCTCTCTCTCTCTCTCTCTCTCTCTTTTTATGTTTTTATTGTTAAAGCATGTGAAGAGTCATAAATACTCATTTACATAAATACATATACGACACACACGTGTATACACACTCACGTACACGCACACACAAACACACACATACTGTATTTGTTTAAATAGGATTGGCTCAGTCTGCTGTCATTCTTTACTTCTATGACTCAGATTTAATTGTATACATTCTCTCTCTCTCTCTCTCTCTCTCTCTTTCTCAGCCAGGGAACTATCAGCGGACGGTGAAGAGGACGGAGGATTCGTTCCAGGTGTGTAATGATATAGTGGCGTGTTTTCAGGAGCGAGCGCGTGTGGAGCGGCAGTACGCCCAGCAGCTCAGCGAGTGGACAAACAAATGGAAGCCCATAGTGGACGCCAGTGAGCACTGCAGCCTCAGCTACATTACCTCATAATTATATAATACGCTGATTTAAAACACTGTAACTTAATATATTCATAACAGTGAAGCCTCTCCGAGTTCACTTCAGTTCTCTCTCTCTGTCGCTCTCCCTTCTCTTTCTCTCTCTCTTGCTCTTTTCTTTTTCTCTTTCTCACCTTCGTGTTTGTCTTTCTCTTCTCTCTCTTAATTTTCTCATTTTGTTCATTCTGTGCTCTCTTCTGTCAACACTATCTCTTTTTCTCTCTCCCACTCACCTTTGTCGTTCTCTCTCTTTCTTTCTCTTCTACTTCTCTCTCTTCTCTTAATTCCCTTTGTTTCCCTCTCTATTTATCATTCTCTCCCTCTTTCTTTCTTTTTTCTCCCCTCTTTACATCTTTCTTTCTCTTTTTTTGTTTCTCTCTTTCTCCCTCTTTCTCTTCTTTTGTTTCTCTCTTTCTCCCTCTCTCTCCCTCTCTCTTCTTCTCTTCTCTTCTCTTCTCTTCTCTCACACTCTCTCTTGCTTTCTTTTTTCTTTCCTTTCTCTTCTCCCCTCTACATCTATTTCCTTTTCTTTTTTCTTTCTCTTGCTCCCTTTCTTTCTCTCTCTCTCTCTATCTCTGTCTGTCTCTCTCTCTTTCTCTTTCTTTTTCCCTATCCCTCTCTTTCCCTCTCTTTTTTTTCTTTCTCTCTCTACCCCCTTCCACTCTCTCTCTCTTTCTCTTTCCCTGCCCCTCTCTCTTCTCTTCTCTCACTCTCTGTCATCTCTCTCTCTCTCTCTCTCTCTCTCTCTCTGTTCAGGTCCTCTGTATGGCTCTCTGTTGCGGGCGTGGCAGTGTTTTCTCTCCTCCGCTGACCGTCTCTCCACTCTTCACGCCTCCATCTGTCGCTCGCTGGTTTCAGAGGATGGAGACCGGATCAGGACGTGGCAGAAGGAGACCTTCCACAAGAAGATTTTTGGAGGATTCAGGGAGTCGCAGGATTTCGACACAGGATTCGCTCGCGCGCAGAAGCCCTGGGCCAAAAGACTCAAGAAGGTCATTAATGTGATTTGACTATACATTCAGTTTATATTACATGATTTGTAATAGACTGTGGTCAGAACAGTGCTATCCAGTCAGTCCAGTCAGTGATATCAATTTTGTTCATTTGTCCATTTTGTTCATTTGATTATTTGATTGTGTTCTGGTTTAAAATATCACGGCAGGATGTGGAGGCACGATATCAACATAAACATAGTACCAATCAGCGAATAGCTATGTCATTTCATCAGTCTACCAAATGATTCTGTGGCCCCGAGTACAGTTAGCTTGAACCGTGCCTGTGTGGAAAAGCCACTGGAACAGGTCTAGTCAGACACTCTGGCTAAACTTTAGCTAACTTTGTAAATACAGGGTGGCGCAACACGCTGTGAGTCTGCCACCAACAGGCAAAAGGAAATATATGGGCTGGCGGGCCACATATAATGTGAAGCCGCGAGCCAATTAAAATCTGTCTGCGCCTGAATATTGATTATAATACTGATCCCATTCACTGAAGCAAACCCTTCTGTGTACTGATGTTGAATTTAAAAGCATTCCCATAAGCCTTCAGGTTCAAAGCCACACTCAGTAAACTGGCCTGCGTTGAGTTTGTTAAATTGTCTGTTAAATTGAATTGAGCTGGACGCTGCAGGAGGGCGTTAAACTCGGTGGGAGTTTATTTAACACTGGAGGATTTTACTGTGTGGGGTTTATTCCTCACTAAACCCACAGCTGCTCCTGTCCCGCACCGTTAACCCTGACTCTGCTGGTGGTGTCTGTGTTCGTAGCTGGAGAAGGCGAAGGCCGCGTTCCACAAGGCGAGCCGCAAGGAGCACGTGGCCCGTGAGAGAGAAGCTCACGCTCAGGGAAACCCCGACATCGCCATCGAGAAACAGAGGAAGATCCAGGAGGAGCGAGAGCTCGCCCAGCAGGAGACGGAGAAAGTGAGTATGTTCCTGCACTGTATGTCCAGACAGCCTTAACAGTGAGTGAATACTGACACCCAGTACTGACCCAGGCATTCAACTCTCTTCTGGGAAGCCTTTAAGACAGATGTTGGAACATTGCTGTGAGGATTTGATTGAGCATTGGTGATGTCAGGTACTGATGTTGGATGGTCAGTTCTGGATCACTTAAACTCATCCCAATGGTATTGGATGGAGCTACATCACTTTAGAGAATGCAGCTCCACTGCTCCACAGCCCAATGCTGGGGGGCTTCAGACCCCTCTAGCCCAAGTTTGGCACTGGGCATGGAGACCTTAGGCTCATGTGCTGCTGCTCCAGAGTGTCCCATTCTATTGGTCAATGCTTTCTATAGAGATTATATAAGCTTTGTGTGCAAGTCATTGCCTGTGTCACCTTAAAGTAGCTGAATTCACTCATTAGAAGGGCTGTTTGGATACTTTTGGATATATAATGAATAAATATAGCAAAAATGTTTATAACTGTAATGTGTGTTAAAGGTAAGACATTTTATTTAAAGGAAGTTCAGACCATTTCTGTTGGTCAGATTCACATAGACTAAGGCTTTAATGTGGAATTCCACCAGTAATTCCAAAGCTGGGATGTAAACAAAGTGATTCAGAGTGATGAAATGGTTAATTGTAGAGATGTCTTTACAGTGGTGGTGATCAGAACCAGGGGTCGCCATGACAATACAAATACAGCCATTTTATTTACTATCCAAAACCACCAGGGGACCTACACGAGTCTTCAGAGTTTTATATGTAATGTTGATGATGGTTACATATTGTTAAATCTGAAAAAATACGTTTTCTTTGGGGACTATTTTGCCTCACAATACCCTGCATATACCCCTCTACTATAAATGGATTTAAAGAAATATGTTTTACACTAAAACCTTATTTCAAATCTATTGTAAAACAGTGAGTACATTTGCATGCACTTAATAATCTGATAAATGCAGAAAATCTGATTTTGTCAGTAATCCGATCAACGTGTTTACGTACACTTGAGTAATCCGATAATGAGGAAACTCTGGCTTTACATGAGTGAGACAGTAACCACATTTCTGCTTTGCAACCAGCCAGTAAACTCACAGAAGAAGACGTGACGTGAACATAATGTAAATCTCAAACTTTATGCAGCGGCTTTTATTTTAAACATTGCACCACTTTACCTGAAAAATATGAGCATAGATCATCTAGAAGATGAAGAATATTTGAATCCTTCATTTTGTCAAGCATGTATTATTTCAGAGTTGCTCCAAAAGTGTTTTGCTGCATCTCGCAGCAACACTGCTGCTTATTTCCGGTACCACCGCCTGTTTTTGTACATGCGCAGACTGAGAAATCCGAAAGAAATCAGAGTAAGAGTTTACATGCACTGAGAAATCTGATTACTGAGCTAAAATCCAGCTCTCTTTATCGCATTTCTTAATCGGATTTCTAGACCTTACTCTGATCTAAGAAATCAGTGTGTGCTGTTTACATGACCATTTGAATAATCAGATAACCGCAGAAATTTGATTATGATCAGATTATTGAGTGCATGTAAACGCACTTACTGTCTCAGACATCAGGCAGTGTATTCATAACCATGTGAACTGTGAAGGAGCTTTTAGAAGCCTTTACTGCTTCAGATCTGGTTCCTATCACCACCACTGTGAACGGTTCTGGCAGCACTGTGGTGTGTGTGTGTGTGTGCAGGTGAAAGCCCGCTATGAGAAGGTTCTGGAGGAAGTGACGCGCTACGCCCCGCGATATATGGAGGAAATGGAGTCCATCTTTGACCAATCACAGGAGGAGGAGAGGAAGAGGATCAGCTTCCTGAAGCAGGCCTTCCTGTCCATCCACAGACACCTGGACGTCACCAACAACGAGAGGTACAAACTCTACCGACTCTGTGGTGAAATTAAAGGGAATTTTTCAGTGAATGAGTGAAACAGAACAGAGACAAATAACAACACTAACACACTGACACTCTCTCACGTCATTTATGTTTTCTGTGCTCTGATTGGATAGTTTATTGGTTTCTGTTCTCTGATTGGATATTTTAGTGTTTTCTGTGCTCTAATTGGATAGTTTAGTGTTTTCTGTGCTCTGATTGGAAGCTTTCATATTTCCTATGCTGTCATTGGATCCATTTGTATTTTCTGTGCTCTGATTGGATACTTTTCATATTTTTTATGCTCTCATTGGATATGCGTATGTATTCTGTGCTCTTATTGGATTAATTTGTGTTTTCTATCCTCTGATCGGATACTTTTTTACATTTTCTGTGGCCTGATTGGATGTTTTTGTTCTGTACGTGGCTGGTCCTTCCGTCAGTCTCCTGGATCTCTTCGCCAGTTCATCTTTTTCCTCTACATCTTTCCTCCTTCTGTAACCTTGCTGGTTAAAAAAATCATCATTATTATTATTATTATTATTATTATTATTATTATTATTCAAAGCGATAATTTGCAAATTTACACAGTTGTCCTCAATTTTTCTCTCTTACCCCAAATGTAGTTGACCAGCCATGACATGTTTGGTGTCTGAATTGTTGCTTCTTTTCATACCTGAGCTACTAGGCCAATGTAGCTAACAAGTAGTGCAAGCGTATACCCCACCAATTAGCATCGTGCTAACTGCAGGCCACAGACCGTGTGGAGTGGTCCAGTATCTCTAATAGTCTTGATTGTGTGGTTTCTGACACTGTATGACTCACTGTTATCTATAAACATGGTCTAAATTTAGCTTCCAAGATGGCTGCAGTGCAAACAAAATATTTTTTTTTTTTTCCAGTGACAAATTTACCTTGAAATTTAGTCTCACTCTAAATCTGTTCTGGAGAACCTGCCATAAATGAACTCTTTCTCTCTCTCTCTCTCTCTCTCTCTCTCTCTCTCTCAGTGTGAAGGCTGTGTACAACGAGCTCCACAACACTCTGATGAGCATTAATGAGCAGGAGGATCTGCGCTGGTGGAAGAACACTCATGGTCCAGGAATGCCCACTGACTGGCCTCAGTTCAAGGTGCTGCTCCAAAATTTAACACAGATGTGAGGCTACGGCTCATGTATGCCGATGTCAGGGAGTGTGGAACGCTGCCTCCTTTTGACATTTGCAATGCAATTAACGCTTTTACAGAAACTACACTGTCAAATGTAAAGCATATCACCAACAAATAACAAAACATTTATAAAATAAACAGGTAGACAGACAAATGCTTGCATAGATAAGTCGATAAGTATGGATAGATAGATAAGTGTATATTTACACCGATCAGGCATAACATTATGACCACCTCCTTGTTTCTACACTCATTGTCCATTTTATCAGCTCCACTTACTATATAGGTGCACTTTGTAGTTCTACAGTTACAGACTGTAGTCCATCTGTTTCTCTGCATACTTTGTTAGCCCCCTTTTACCCTGTTCTTCAGTGGTCAGGACCCCCATGGACCCTCACAGAGCAGGTACTATTTGGGTGGTGGATCATTCTCAGCACTGCAGTAACACTGAGGTGGTGGTGGTGTGTTAGTGTGTGTTGTGCTGGTACGAGTGGATCAGACACAGCGGTGCCAATGGAGTTTAAAACACTGTGTCCACTCACTGTCCACTCTATTAGATGCGCCTGCGTTGTCGGTCCACCTTGTAGATGTAAAGTCAGAGACGATAGCTCATCTGCTGCTGCACAGTTTGTGTTGGTCATCCTGTAGTCCTTCATCAGTGGTCACAGAACGCTGCCCACAGGACGCTGTTGCCTGGATATTTTTGGTTGGTGGACTATTCTCAGTCCACACACACTAACACACCACCACCACGTCAGTGTTACTGCAGTGCTGAGAATGATCCACCACCCAAATAGTACCTGCTCTATGAGGGTCCATGGGGGTCCTGACCACTGAAGAACAGGGTAAAAGGGGGCTAACAAAGTATGCAGAGAAACAGATGGACTACAGTCTAGATAGATAGATAGATAAATAGGTAGATAGACAGAAAGACAGATAGATGAGAAATCTGAAATAGTTATTATCCACTAGTGGTTTCATTTTTAAATAAAATTTCTATTTGCTTCTCTTCTTCAATCAATATGTGATCCTAGATGCTTCAGTCTGAAACATAGTGTAGTAGTAATAGTGAGCTGGTGATGTTGCAGGTTGTAAAGATGTTGGTACTGGTTGCTTTGGGTCACTTTGGTCTTTGTATCTCAGTTTATTTGTCTGCAGTGTTTGGTGACTGTGCTTGTACCCTATTTTTTAAGAGCTGCTCCACCACATCTCCATAAATAGAGCGGTGTGTGCGGAGTGTCCAGCCAAAAACGACATTTTGTTCTCACTCGGTTTATAATAGCATCTCTCTGCCTCTCTACATCTCTCTCTCTCTCTCTCTCTCTTTCTCTTTCTCTCTCTCTCTCTCTCTCTCTCTCTCTCTCTCTCAGGAATGGGTACCAGACAAGAAACAGAAAAAAAGGAAAGAAAGAGGTGGAGCATAAAGCGGTCGTCATGGAGAGAAGGTCAGTCAGTCTTCAACCAAGATTCAGTTTGAGTCACTGAACAAACAGTAAATCTGCCTCAGATCACCAGATTTTAGAAAATGTTCCTGGCTGACTATTACGAATTATGTTTTATGTTTTGTTTATTTTTTTTTAATCTGTCTTGGTCTTATAAGGACGCTGTACACAGCTGAAAACAATATGGTATACTTTAATTTCACTATGCTGTATATCCACACTGCAAAAAATGGTATCTTGTCAAGTGAAATGGTCGTAAATGTAGTCAATAAATCTAAAATTTCTCCTGTTGAGATTGTTGTAAACCTTAATTTAAGATTTTTTAGCTCATCTCTAGACATTATTTACTTGTTTTAGGTAATTTGATTAAGTAAAATCATCTCACTATAGTGGCAGATTATTGTGCTTGTTGTATGAAACGTGCTTGAAATATAGCATTGATATTTCTTGAATGTGTAAAACCTCTTCCCAGCAATGCATTTCATAAAAAATAAACTTTGTAAAACTGGGCTATAGTGGGTTTGGGAATTAAAGCCTTCATATGATCAAGTGTAGCTGGTGATTTATAGTTATCTCTCTATATTATCTGTTATTTGGCAGAATGTTTTTGTGTTTGTAGTGAACTTGTGTGTGTTTCTCTCTCTCAGTGTAATGATCGGTGGAGTGCGGGTCAGAGCGCTGTATGATTATGTTGGACAGGAGCCGGATGAGCTCTCCTTTAAAGCTGGTAACTCAGTCTTGCATGTGGATGTTTGTTTGTGTGTATAAACTTACTGTTTTATTCTCTTATGATTGGAAAACCCCATATTTGTATTAGGCCTGTTGGGAATTGTTTTATTTTGTTTTATTTATTTGTTTTATTTATATACTTTTTCCTTAGTTTTAGTTGTTGTTCATTGGTAAGATTCAGGCCCCAATTTTTAGACAAAAATTTAAAGCAATAATTTGGCCAAAAATCACATTTTCTCATGACTTCGTTGACTGGCTAAGTTTGGTGTGATGGGGGAAACTGTGTGAATATAAATATGATGTTTAGCAAAACTACTACTTTAACTTCTGCCAAAACCAGTGGTTGTTTAGTAACGCAATTTTGTATGATAAAAGTATTTTTGAAAGTAATGAATACATTCAGATTAAGCATATTTTATCTGATTATACAGCTATAGTACTGCGCAAAACTCAGAGACCACCTTCATTTATTTAATTTCCGTCCAAACAGCCATTAAGTACAAATTCTTCATTTCTCAGTTTCAGGAAAAAAGCAAAAAACATTCCCTGTTGTCAGAAGAAAACCTCGTATCTCCAAAATGATAACTTTACAGGAGAAGAAAAAACCCACTTTACGTTTAATGTAATTTTGGGCCGTTCCTTTTTGTCCATTTATCATGAATTTACACACAATGTAAAGGACAACAGGCATTTTCAAATTATGTCAAAAAATGAAAAATGGAGATACGAGGTTTTCTTCCGACAGCAGTGATATATTGTACAGAAAATGACACAGAAGCCTTAATGACCCATTTTTTCAGTGTTTACTGTGTCACTCTTTACTTTCATTCCAGCTTCCATTCTTTTCAGGAGACTCACTTTCAGTTCCTCAAAGAATCTGCAGACACACCTCCAAAGTTCAGTCTTAGAAGCTGGTTGATCATTTTCTGAAGTAATCAAACACATTCAGTGGTGTTGAGGTCTGGACTCTGGGGTGGTCAGTCCATTGTTCAGCTTCTTTGTTTGATGTGTCCGTCTCCTTTTCTCAGTGAGGTTCTTCTTGACAGCTACACATCCTTTCAGACCCACAACGCTGAGTCGTCTTCTCACAGTGGAAGGATGGACAGAAACACCTGTGGATGTTTTCAGATCTGAAGCAGCTTGATTTTCTCCTCTCTCTCAGAGATGAAAGCTTTAAGTGCTGTTTATCTGATGGGGGCAGTTTTGGTGTCTACCAGGTCTTCCAGGTGGTTGTTAGGAGGCCTGTTTTCTCTGTAGCTTTTAATCAGTTTTTGAACTCTAGTTTTGAAAAGTCCTGTTTTTCACTTATTTTTTTTTTCTTTCAGAAATATCCTCTGGAAAATTACTTCATGTATTTTATGTCTGTTTTAACTAGAAATGAAAAAATGAAGGGTGGTCTTTATCTTTTGCTCAGTACTGTATATTTGAGAAAGTTTGGTATTGAGGGTGCCTTAGAATGAGCTGTAACCCTCCGTGTATCTGTGTATGTTTACAGGTGAGGAGTTTCTGAAGATTGAGGATGAGGATGACCAGGGCTGGTGTAGAGGGATGATGGACGGAGGCAAAGAGGGACTTTACCCCGCAAACTACGTGGAGGTGGTGTAGGGCCGTGGGAGAGACATATACATGCAGTCTTTCCTGAGATGGACTGTGGGACGTATTTTTGATTCTATGATATCCTCTGATAGTTTGTCACTGCTTTCAGAGAGCGTCCTGATTGGTCAAATTCCAGTCAGTGCAGAATGAAATTGATTCTAAAGCAGCAGAGGTCAGGAAAAGATTATTTTTATTGCGTTGCTTGATACAAGTAGACCCAGTAGGCCTGTAAGATGCGTTAAAGTCAAATCAATATTGACCTTTTTTACTTTGTTAGTTCGTGTCCCTGGCCAGATTAAGTATAATTCATCATTCAAAAGGCAAAATTTTGTTTCGCTGTAATCTTCCATGTAAATGTAATGACTTTTGCCCTGCCTCAAAATATCTCTTGATTTTTTTAATGACGTCACTGTGCACCAGTGGGCGGGGCAAAGTAATATTAACCAGTAATATCATGTTTCATGTTTCCCACCTCCAGCTGTTATAGAGATTAAATGCTCAGCTAGCTGAGAGACCCCCCAATACCATGTTTCCCTCTAAAATACATCACAGTGCGGAAGGAGAATGTGTTATGACTTCTCATTGAATTTAAGCTTCAAACAGAAGGAATATGATAATAATTTCACACCAAGAATATTCAGGACTGTGCAAAAGTCTTGATATGTAGAGCTATTTATCTGGGCAGTAAGCATTTATTTGTTCAAATAAGTGTAACTTAAGATCTGAGAGGTCAAGGTAAGACTCACAAACTCGTATTACAGCAGCAAATATTATCTTAATTTAGGAACGTCATCTTACAGCATCTTATCTCCAGTTAGGAAATCTGAACCTACTCGATCGAAGTCGACAATCAACTGTCATGTCTGTTACCTAGCAACCGACCATAGGCGCACAGCGTAAACACGTAATCAAAATGATGATGTTAGCTAGCCAGACAGCTAACGTTAGCTACCGTTACTGAGGTAAAAAAGAGTCAAACAAAACCGAAGTTAATAATGTTGTGTCAGCGCTTCGTGCTGTTTATCAGAGTTGCCGCTCCCCAGTTTCAGTCTCCATTTCCCAGACACTTTAGCCGAGGGCGCTAACGTTATTCCTCCTAATAAACAGACACGTGTTCAGCTCTGTCTCCTCATTATTCACCACCATCACTGTAATATTTCATCATCATTATCACACAAAGGTAATAAGAGGGTTTGGTGGAGATCGAGTCTGCAGTGACTGGGGTTTTAAAACACAAAAATCCCTCAGGAGTCAAAGCACCGTTTTCAATGTAGATAAACGTAACAACATTTATGCTAGTTATAGTGAACTGTGCTGCCTCTCACTGCATAAAACAATAGAAACAGACAGTTAAACAGAACTTAAGACCCTCTGGGGTTTATCCTAAAGTTAGGACAGTATTTAGGAGGTTTAGTCTAGTTAGGATGTTTCTGTAACACTGTTTTCTTATCTGGAGTTAATGATAAGATTATGAACTTAAGAAACTGATGTTCTGTAACAGCTTCTGTCTTAAATTCAGTCCTAACTGAAGTTGTCATGGTGACTAACCAGATAAGATTTCGGACTTAAAAGTTTCTGTAATACGGCCTCTGGTCTCTATTCTTCACGTGCTGATGCCGAGATAAACAGCTTTAAAAACATTCTCTTGGTTGTCTCAGTCTTCTGCACAGTGCTGTACAGTTTTAAACAGTGGCACATGAGTGAAGCTAATGCTATCAGAAAGTGCTGCCCCTGTTCTGCAGTCCATACTTCATTTTCTCTCAGCTCTCTTCATCCAGGCTACTGGGACTCTACTCTGTCCAGAGCTGGCCTGACCTTTCCACGCCACTTTTCTTCATTTCTTTGTTTGTTTTATTTCAGTCTGCTTTGTATTTTGTGTAGAATGAAAAGGCCCAGGCACAAGGCTGGATGGAGGTGGTCGGAGGTGGACAGTGTGTGGAGCAAAGTGTTTATGAAGGGTTCAGATTAGAAACAGTACAAGTTGGAAAAAGAGTTGCTTTCGCAAGTGCCTTCATCTGAAACTGTTCTTGAGAAAATGTTGTTTAGGTTATATTCTGACTGTTCTGTCTGATGCTGGGGCGTCTACAGGGGCATTCAACAACACTTACAGTGAAATATTCTAATATATTACAAGGTCATGGAGAGCTGTACGCATTTATGCGTAAAACGTATGTGCGAATAATGCCGTCTGGAGTATTTCAGGAGCTGCATTTCTTGCTTATTCAGAGTGAGAACTTTTATAACGTTATCAGCTCCAGTTCTGCTGGTTTATCAGTGTTAAGGCCGATTTATAGTCGAGGTCACAAGTCGCTCGACCAAAAGACTGTGGTCGACAGATATCGCAGTGCTGTAGGCTTTCGTGGTCAAAACATCGGAATAGAACATCATCTGTAGTTTCTATGAAACTTGTATGACGTTGCAGCTACTGAAGCAGTAGTGAAACCACACAGAACAGTCTGGAAACAGCTGCTATGGTGAAACTGCATTAACAGTAGGGATTTCAATTTGTCTCTGTGACAACCAGAAATACTACTTGCTTTCCACACGCATGTGTTTCACTCACAAGTCATGCAGGGTTGCCAGATTTACAGTTTTCCCCAAAATTCCGGCTAGTCTAGGAGTGCAGTGCGGGGCATATTACACTGTCACGTGGTGTGTTTTCTGCTTGGACTACCTTTTTAACCCTTGTGTGGTGTTGATGTGTTTGTTACTCAGTGGTCTTGTGGACCCACCACAGTATTGTTTTATTAAACCAATACAGTCATAACAATTTATGTAAAAATACCAGATGTTTAAAATATCACAAGAGTCCAGCGTAGGGTTCTCCTTTAGCAGCTGTAGCCAGTCAGCAGCCTGTGCATGTTGTCCATCCTCACACACACACACAATTACACACACACATATATACAAACACATACAGGCACACACACACTAACAGCAGGCCATATAGGAGGAGAACAGAGTGAAGGACACAGCACCTCCACACTTTTACACTCCGCAGGTTCACCCAACACCACATGTGTAATATAAATGTGTGGGGGGGTGAACAGAGTGAAGACACTGAAAATGGGGTGTTTTATATGTTCTACACAGAAAATGAGCAAAGACCAATAATCTGACCTTCAAATAATAATAAATCACATAATTTTTTATTCTGGTGAACATTAAAAATGGGTCCCACAGACCTGAACACCACACAAGGGTTAAAGTAATTGCAGTTGCAGGAAAATGTTTGAGAAATGAAAACAAATCGTCTTATAAATGTGTATTGATCCTAGTTGTGAATAGCTGGCAACAATCCAGAACGTAGAACTTTGAGGTTCTATCCAGTCAGATTGTGCGACAGCGTCTGCGCCCTTTCAGATGTTTTTAAAGTACGCGACGAGGTCTGTGACACCCAAGCAGACACAGATTTAGTCTGTTTTATGTAATCTTTTGTCCAGCGATGGTTGTCGCATGAACTATAAATTGGCCTTTAGTCCTGCGTGATTTCAAATGAAGACTTGTGCTGTGTCCCAATTGCATGCTAAGCACTAATACAAGGCGCAGGACTTCAAATCTTCTTGGCCAGTTTGTGCATGGTCGACTTCTTTCAGGGCTTTTTTTACACTAGAGCTTTTATCCGGACCCAGGGCCGCTTGCTCTGCGAGTTCAGTACATTTGATCAAGTGTGAAAACTCTTTTCAAGACCAGGAGTGACCTCTGGTCCTCACAAATCGGTGGTCGGGGGTCACTTCCATCAAACTCCGGTGTGGCCTGCTGCACAAGTGGAAGCTATCCACTCCTGGTGGAGCAAGTGGGGTTGCGTGATTGGTTAATTTGGTAATGTGATAACGTTCATCAAGGTACAAACAATGTAAATGTTCCCTCAAAGGTACAACAGTGGCTTTAAGGTCCAGTTGTGCACCTTAAACTTCACATTTGTACCTTTTCATAACCGAATGTTTTAAAACAGAGCAATAAAATAAAAGCCTGGAGACGAGACGGGGTGTGTGGAGTCAGTACAGCTTAGAACATATCATTTCAGTGGATTATGGTTCAGTTATGTTCCCTGACTAAAGGTACTGAGATGGACCTATAAGGGTCCCACCCCAGTGACAGATTCGTATGGTTTGAATGGAATTTTTGTGATTGAAAGCAACCCGGTGATAATGAGCCCCGCCCCCAAACGAGCCCAGAATCAGTCCTGGGTGTGGACTCAAGAATTTGGGACTAGTGTGAAACACCCTTAGATGGTCAAGCTCCACTTTAGATGGTTATGTTAGGTGCGTTAATTCAACACAGCTCATTTTAAAGCTTTGAATATTTTTTAAGCAAATATCTACTGCGTCCAGTTTCATTGTGCATCCCTCTTTATTTTTTTTGTCTTTTCCAACTTATTTAACCTCAGCAAAATGGAAGATTGTGATACATATGGTGTATCGTGAAATATTGTGATGCTATATTTTTGCTATATTGGCCCTAAACGACATGGTCCAGCTCTGCAGCGTAGCAAACTCAATGTTATGTAGCAGCTCTAAACAAACGTTGTACTGGTCCAAGTTTCTCACTGAAGGGGATTTTTGCCATAAAGCTTGTCTAACTTTGTAACACGAGCTATAAAAGACTGCATTTGTGGGCGGAGCTTATGTGGGCCAGTTGGGACACAGCATTGGTTTCTTTCTATCAGCCGGCTGCAGTCAGAGTCTTCTGTCTTTGTGTTTCTCTATATGCAGTGTTACTCTAACCAAAGATGGTACAGTACTGTGTGAGTGTCTGTGTGAGTCAGAGTATCTTAAATGTACCGAATTCACAGAAGCTGTTTGTACTAAACACACAAAACGGCCATTTCTAAACGTCACAATATGAATAAAGAGATAAAACAAGATAAACCAGCCTGCTGTGTTCTCTCTCTCTCTCTCTCTCTCTCTCTCTCGCTCTCTCTCGCTCTCTCTCTCTGTCTCTCTCTCTCTCTCAGTCTCTCTCGCGCTCGCTCTCGCTCTCTCTCGCTCTCTCTCGCTCTCTCTGTCTCTCTGTCTCTCTCTCTCTCTCTCTGTCAGTCAGTTCAGTTCAGAATAGCTGTATTAGCATGACTGTGAGGTACAGTATTGCTAAAGCATCACAACAGTAGAAGTGAACAACGAAAACAATGAAAACATAAGATAAAAAGAACCAACATAAATAATAACCATATTAATTATTATATTTGCAATATTACAGTATTATTATTACTGTTTATAATTATAATCATACTAATTAATAAACTAATGACATTGACATTTTTGCAAACACAAATAAGTTGTGTAATGTTGGGGGGTCAGTAAAGTGGGGTATGGAGGGTGTGGGTAGGTAGAGTGGGGGTGTGTGTCTGTCTCTCTCTCTTTATCTCTCTCTCAGTCTCTCGCTCTCTCTCTCTCGCTCTCTCTCGCTCTCTCTCTATACCTATCTCTCTCTTTTCTGTTTATCACACTCTTTTTTATCTATCTTTATACTCTCTCTCCTCTCTCTCTCTCTCTCTTTTGTTTCTCTATCCCACCCTTTTTTTCTATTTTTTCACTTTTTACTTTTATCCCCTTTCTTTCTTTCTTCTTTCTTTCTTTCTTTCTTTCTGTCACCCTCTTCTTTCTCTCTCTAGCTTTTCTGTCTTCTCTCTTCCTTTTTTCTTTCTCTCTATCTCTCCATATCTATATCTCTATCTCTATCTCTCTCTTTCTCTCTTGTTTCTCTATCCCACTTTTTTCTTTCTTCACTTTTTTACTCTTTTATTCTCTTTCTTTCTTTCTTTCTTTCTTTCTTTCTTTCTTTCTGTCACCCTCTCCTTCCTCTCTCTAGCTTTTCTTTTTGTGTTCTCGCTTCCCTCTTTTTTCTTTCTCTCTATAATCTCAGCTCAACAAGTGTGTCACTCTGAGTCTCATCTTTCTTTTGTCTCTTTTCTCGTTTTTTCTCTTTCTTTATTTCCCATCTCTTGTCTTGTTTTTTTCTCTTTCTCTGTCTCTCCTCTCATCTTTTGTCTCTTTCTGTCTTCTCTCTCTTTTCTCTTTCTCTGTCTCTCCTCTCATCTTTTGTCTCTTTCTGTCTTCCCTCTCTTTTCTCTTTCTCAGTCTCTCGTCTTTTTCTATTTGTCTATCTGCTCTCTTTTTT